CCCCCCCCCCCCCTACGTGCCGCAACGTGAATTGGCCGCTTCCACAGTAGTTCGGCACAATCTACTATTTATCACCCCGCTAAGATCAGACAACTGCATCAGATATCATCACCAGAAAAATCACGGTCGACGGAGGCCACAAAGGCATCATCGTCGACGTCATCGTTACCCCTCTAGCTCGTCACAGGGAAAAAAGGACGCAGCAGTTGGCGCCCCCCCACACACGCGTAAGCTTTACGACGGCAGGGCACTCCCTTCTCCCTTCTCACCCATCACATGCGAGACAGAAATGCTCTGCTCCTACTGTAGATTGAAGGCTTTGCTAGACAGCTAATTCGGCAAGAGGCAGGCAGGCACCACAACGTAACAATGCCGGCCAAGAGGCTTTTCGCCACCCCACACCCAACAGTCAAAACACCGTCACTTCCACTGCCCCCTCCTATCATGTGAAGTAGGGCAAAACAGACACATCTGACAGGCCCGGCTCAGACACGAAAAACAAACAACAGCGGTTTCAGGGAGCAGGCAATCAGTCGGAAACCATAGATAAAAAAACGCGGCCAAGGACAACGTGTAGCAACGCACAAGCCGCGCAGCTGGGTTAGCACCAAACAGAGCGCAAAATACACGGAACTGCAAAACCCTCTTTTCCACCCTCTCCCGCCCCCTAGCTTCGCCCCCTAGCCCCCCCAACATCCCCATCCTCCGTGCCTCCATCGTTTTTTTTGGTTGGGACAGCAATGGCGAGCTCCGCACCGAACAAAGAAAAACTAACGATGATGACGACGACAGCAGTATTGCAATTCGGATGACACCCCACGCAGCTACCAAGACCATCGCTCGGGACCAAAACAATTTTTGCGGGGAGGGGGAGGGAGCGGGGGGTTGGGGTTCACCACCCTTCCGAACCACCGGCCTTCTCGTCCCCTCAGAAATCCAGCTGGAAACGGAAACCCGTCGATTATAGAAAACCGGTCAATTCGGTCGGTCCGGCAACAACCTTCTCCCTACCCTACGTGGAAAAACAGCGCAACCACGGAAGCCCCCTCGGATTCCAAATGCCTCGGGCGCCTTTGGCGACGCGCACCAACAACGCGACCCACACCTCCCGCAGTAGGCAGTACTGCCGGAAAAAAATGAGCAACACCACGCCAGCGGCAGAGGAGAGAGAGAGAGAGAGAGCAACGGCGGGCGGCAACGGCGACTTGTTCTACACCGGCCGGGAACGAGCGGAATCGCTCGCCGTGCCACAAAAGTTCCGCAGGGAACCCTGCTGGCCCCACATTATTTTCACTTGTCACTTCCTATCGCCACGCGTTCAAACAGAGCGAGAGTTACAGCAGTGCTTCGCCTACGTACCGAAGTGCCTGCGCTTGATTCGGCAGCGGTACAGCAGTAACCGAAAAAACGGATCATCAGGAACCACGCGCCGTCGTGCAGTTAGGCACGCCGCGTTATCGTGCCCTCCACCACCTACCTACCTTGTCAGTCGCTCTTGTCTTCATAAAATCTCTCC